CCAATCTGTTCAAATGACCTGAATATCGTAAGTTGCTCTTATCATCTTTGCACGGTTGTTATCTCTCCATTTTTTCTGGCAAATAATATCCCAGAACGGCAGCAGCATTTCCAACACATGCGCGAATTCCTTATTGCATTGAGTTAAGAGATAATTGAGATATGTTGCCGGAAAGTTGTGACAAAACACAAGCGAGAAAACAGTTGCGAAACTAAAATTGCCCTGTGCGCGCTTAGCCTAAAGTACCTAACTGCCACACTACAGACGCTAGGCATACGCAGGGCAACTTTAGTTGCGCAACTCTTTTCTCACCCAAATGTAAACAATGAAATAGATAAGCAACGCACCCACAGGCAACTCGGGATTTTGGAGACTGAAAAGTTTGTGTTTTGTCACAACTTTCCTTCAACGCAACTGTAGCTCAAATCTCCTGTGGTACATACCAAACTGACACACAGCACGCACAGGCGACAAAATTGTCTCCGGACTCCACAAAGCCCCGCCACTCCACACATATTTTCACCCTGACTTGACAGAGATTCGATTTGACTGCCAAAAAACTATCAGAGTTCCAATTACTCCAAAATCAAGCAGCGAAATTGATAATGAAATGTAATCAGCGCACGTAACACCAATTCTGAAAGAACTACTCTCTGGCTGCTAATAAAAGAAAGGATTAAATACAAACCTACCGTTTCCTGTATTCAATGTATAAATGATACGGCACCTATTTATCTAACAGAATTCCTGGAATTATATCTTCCACCAAGAACCCTTAGATCAGCCTCTGATAATCTTTTTTTTTAAATTCCAAAACAAAATTCCAAAAACATACGGTGAACGTTCCTATTTATTCTTTTGTCCCCCTGTATGGAACCAACTCCCACATAAAATAAGGAATTCCTCCACTATTCACATTTTCCAAAAACAGCTGAAACATTTCTTATTCACAAATGTACACCTGTCAAAACGATGATCTGTTTTACATGCAGGTGTATGTCCGATCGTGAGAAACATGGCGTGTGAGAATGAGAGAGAGAGAGAGAGA